GAACCTCCATAGCTGCTCCCATCTATCCGCCATGTTCTTCCGGCTTGTCTGGACTTTGTATTAATAAAACTAAAGATATCAAATACATATTTCTATTTCAAAAAATAGAATTAATGCTCAGCATTGCACAAGGCCTAACATTTTACCCTTTTAAGCAGGGTCTTCCATTTTAGGCTATTTCTCTCATTTAAAATTAGGCAGTGTTTGGTCATTCACGATCACTAATGATGGAGGTAATAGCAATGAATTATTTAACCCTCCTTAAGCTTGCTTTGTTCATTTCCAATGTTCAAGTTTTCTTCATTTGTAAAGTTCTTTTTCGCTCTTCTGGGTTATTATTCCAGATGAATTCTAAGGAAAATTGAAATTTCAGATTTTGAGCTAACTATAGGAACCAACATTATGCTATCATGGGCTAGTCAGGATTGCACCTGATGGCAGAGCTGTAACTAAGCTATGCGTAACATACATGGACCTTGAGAAGACTCTACTCCCCATTCAAGGTTGGTGCTGACTTGGTCATAGCAGAAAGAAATTTACATAAAGAGCAGCATGTGCAAGTAATTGGTCTATTTTTATTCTTTTTTTTTTTTTTTTTTTTTTTTTTTTTTTTTGCGACCGGGGATCAAACTCATGACTTCACACTCGCCAAGGCAGGCACTTTTGCCCCTGAGCTAAATCCCCAGCCTCTATTTTTATTCTTTCCCAATGTTATTATAATCTATACTGTTGGATGCCCAGCCAAAATCTCTGCCTACAAAGACCTGCTATTATTCATATATTGGGAAATACAATGGATACATGAAAGTACCTCTCCCACTACAGGCTATTAATCAGATTGTGCTAAAATGAGTCATGGAAGCCTACCCTTTGTCAATGATTGGTCTAGATGTGATCATGTGACCAAATCCTAGCCAATGAGATGCAGAATGAATTCTGCTGGGGCCTCTGGGAAAGATTTTCCTCTCTTCTAAAAGAGATCATTTATTACACTTAACTCTTTCTCAGTACGTCTTTTTTTTTTTTTTTAAATAGCACCTGACTCACTTGTAGAACATTTTTCAGAATAATGAAAAGAAAAATTACTTGCCTAATGCTCTCAGGAAGAGTTGACCAAATATTACTAAAAAATAGAAATTCTGAGGTTCTGTAGCTTTGAGCCTAGGACATTGCCCAAGATGAAGTAGGGATTGGATGGCTGAGTCCCTCCTAGGGACAAAGAGTACCTGGATGTCAGCCATCTCTTTGCCTGGTAGCTGCTCGCTGGACCTTGGCCCAGTAATCTGATATGAGAATCTCAATTGCTATATGTTCTACAGCTATATTACCTAGGAAGGCTCAGCTAGGCTTACGGCTTAAATTACTTCCCTCAAAAACAGCCATTAAGAATGCAATGTAGTTGGCACTAAGTGAGAGAAATCCTTTCTCTAAGTAGGGTTTTTGGATTACAGGGACACCTGTGGGCTAGATCTGAGTCCTTGCACCTGCTCAGTGACTACTACATGTATTACTTACTGAGTTAGGTAAGAAAACAAGGATGATAGCATCCACTTGGCCAGGAATTCACTTCTTCTTGGCCCAGGACTCTCCGGAGAAGAGATAGAAAGCCCTGTTTCAAATTCATGAATTTAAAACAAAGCAGTTTACTTGCTTTGGGTATCCATGGCAACTTCCCCACCATGGGACCTGCAAGCCGAGCTGCTAGTCTGTGTGTGTCACTAAATAAGTAAGACAGAGGCTCTAACCACACTCGTCAGGCCAGAGTGAAGGAAACTCTGCCTTGTACGGGAGCTTCCAGCTAGAATTTGTCCAAATGCTGTTCCTCCAAACCCAAAGAAGAATCAGGCTTTCTGTGTCTTAGTTTGTCCCCACAAAAATACTGGGTTATTTTACAGTTTGTGCCCTGAATAGAAGCACTGCCTCTTCTCTTGCCTGTAGTGTTTCTCAATTTTATTTTAACGTGAGCTCCTTTCAAATCTTCCCCACATTGAATTGTATGTATTCCTACCAGCCAAGTCAGTCACCCTTGTTTCCTGAGTTTGCTTAATAAAAACAATCACTACCGGAATATTTTTTCTCGGGAACAAAGACACTTTTCCATCCTGCTGCATCTCCTAAGAGTAGTGTTACTTCCTTGACTTGAGAATGTGATTCTAGTCCTGAATAATCCTAATTCTTGTACTTTCAACTTGTGGTAAATCATTTATTTCTCAATCAGTTAAGGCACAAACCATGCAAAGTAGAAATTTTATTATATTTGTATTTCCGTGACCTGGATAAGGAAATATGTAAAACGGCAAAAATCTTGCAATATATATCATACCTCTCATAATCCCCATCCACATCTGTACCTCCCATAATTACTGTTACCTCACTTCCACCAGCTCTCATGTATTGGCTACAAAGCAGTCCACACTTGCTTTTATTACGCTGTCGCCTAGATTATTAAAACTTGATGGCTTGATAAAATTTCTATGAATGTTCCTCTATCTATGAAGATTCTGTAATTTCAAATAACTGTCATTTCCTCAGGTCTCTACTCTGTGCCTTCTATGACTTGAATTGTTCTCCAAAACACATGTTGAAGACCCCTGATACTTGTAAATATGATCCTACTTAGAAATAAGGTCTTTGCAGAGGATACATTCAAATTAAAATGAGGCATCCCTGGATTCAGGTGGCTCCTCATCCAGTGACTGGTGTCCTTTTGATAAGAAAGAAATTTGGGCCCAGAGACATCATCCCAGGAAGACATCATGGGGAAACCAAGGCAGAGACTACCATGCTAGAATTTTTTACACTTGAGTTTTTAACCCATCTTAAGTTAATTGTTGGTTCTTGTATAAATCAAAGGTCTGAAATTACTTTCACTGTCATATATTCACTTCTCACATAAACTGGGGTTTTTTTTTTTTTGGATTCTCTTTTCATTTCCACAAATTCTTTTTTACTGGTCTATTTTTAGCATAATTGCAATTTGATTTGCTTATCATGATTTCAAGCTTAATTTTCTCACCAATTTCTTCTCAAGCAAGAATCCTACATCATCTTCTTGTACATATTTTTTCTTGGCTATTGGAGTTTGGTGTTCATTTCTCCATATAAACCTGAAGATTCAAGTTCTTGTGTGAAGGTGTATGTGTAACCCAGCCTGAATCCATGTCCAGGGTGAAAAGCCAGCTCTGTTTTTTTCTTTTTTAACCTTAGAAATCAGGATCTTTTTTCCTTCTATTTTTTTTACGCAGGTCCTCACTCTGCAGTTCAGGCTGCCTTTGAACTTACTTTGTAGCCCAGGCTGACCTCAAACTCTCAGCAGTCTTCCTGCCTCAGCCTCCTGAGTGCTGGAGTTACAGGCCAGGCCAAGGAAGTTACTTCTATACTCCCTTCCATAACGAAGACCCTGCCTACTCGCAGGGATCCTAGACCCTCATGACAGAAGAGATCTGATTACTTCATCTGGAAGAAACAGGGGGACTGCTGCTAGTTTCCATGCCAGGAAGATAATTTGTGCTCCCACGGTGAGCACAAGGACACATTCCTAAAGTAACAACACACATACTTTTAATCTCTGTTATATCATATTAAGGAAGCTGGATTTTATCCTGTAAGCATTTTGCTTGCCATTTAAAAGTTCTGAGTGGAAAAATCACAAGATCACTTTGGTAACAGATACGTGGATAGAGGAGAGAAAAACTAGAAATGGGAGGTTTAGTTGGGTTCTACTGCAACAGTCGGCAAAGACGATGAAGCTTTGCATAAAGCAGTTGTCGGGGCCTAGAGCCAAGTGGGCAGATTTGGAAACAGCTGAGAAGCAGAACTGACAGGATCGGCGATGGGTTTAGTGCTGGGTTAGCTAAGAATCCAGCGTGACCTACTGCCTGATTTCTAGCCCAGGTAAGGGAGTGGAGCCTATGCAGTGCAGTGACACAGGAACACAGGAGGAGCAGACTGGTGACACTGTAGAGAACGAGCTTGGTTTGGGGCGTGATCAGTTTGAAGTCCTGTGAGTCATGTCAGGGGAGACTTAATGACATGAAGACTGTATAGAAGCTAAAAGGAGCTCAATCCAGTCGAATGCCTTTGAGACTCAACAGGACAGTGATGAGGATCAACACCAGAGGGGGCAGAAAGCTAAGAGAGGGACAATAGGGTCGCCAATCTTTACAGAAGACATGGAGCCAGCCAGAGCCCCGAGAAGTTGGTAACGCAGCAGAAACATTTTGAGAAAAAGGAGGCAGTCAGGCTCACTGACAGGAGCAGAGTTGGCCGTTACCAAATTCTACAGGATCTTGACAAGAACTGTTTCAGCTGACTGAAGAGGGAAGAAGTCATGTTTGTTTGTTTGTAGCGGTACTGGGATTTAACCCAGGGCCTGACACGTGCTAGGCAAGCACTCTACCACTGAACTTTGTCTTTGCCCCTTTTAAAAATTTTATTTCCTAACAGAGGCTCCCTAAATTGCCCAGGTTGGGCTCAAACTGCTAAGCCACTACCTCAACCTCCCACGGTGCTGGCCCAGATGTCAAGTTTTAGATGTAGAGTCAAGACAAAGGTGACAGACCGTGCCAGCTGTTTCCCTCTGTCCCTCCAGCTCACTGCCCACGTTCACTGATCTGTTCCCTGTCCCAGATGCACAGTGGCAACATCAACATGGTGTTCGGCCATGACAAGCCCTGGGGGAGGGGGTAAGGTGGGATATGCAGTCCCCCAGGTCCTTTCTAGTGAGGTCAGCTGTGTGCTCTACATCAGAGCCACCACTCCCTCTCCTAGGTTCAGATGACCCCTGCCCCCTTCCTCTCCTTAGACTCGGAGTCCAAATCGCCCTGCTGGGCCTGCCTGTGTTTCTCTACAATCCACGGACACCTCTGCAGATGGCCCTTGGGTAAGCCTTCCTCAGTTCTCCTAATCTGAACACATCACCTGTCTGCTACAGGAACCCTGTCTGGTGCAGGTAGGAACTTTGGCCAAGAAAAAGAAATGGAAGTCCACATACGCAGGGGTGATTTTGTCACAGGGTTCTATTTTGTAAGGGTTGGAGAGGCTTAGCTACAATGATCGTTCATGAAGTTTTAACAGCCAGGCCCTGTTTCAAAGTTGTAATCTGAGAGGAGGGGAGAATGAGACGGATTCCTTGCTGCCCTTTGGAGTCCGTGACATTATGGGTGACCTCATCACGAGGGCTTCAGAGAAGCTTGAACTTGTGTTTCCAGTTTGCCCAAGGCAGTCCATTTGTCAGGTTTGTTCATGGCTGTGTTGGCAAGAGTTGCTTTGAGCCCTCACTGGGTAGAAAAGTAGACAAAGAAAGAACAAAGGTCAGGACCTCAGAAACCCAGGTACACTCTGCACCAAAGCGGTCAGACACTAACCTCTGTGGCTGGTGCTTTTTTAAACTTGGCGAAGCATGCCCCAACCCTGCCCGCCCTGCCGGTCTTGCGTCTCTCCTGGGTCACTGCTTTTACTGCACCACTCTTTCTTGAATGAGCCCCGCTCTGCCCTTGAGCCTGAGGTCTGACCTGCAATCTGGCAGTTTCTTCTACTCTTTCCCCCTCCCCACCAGTAGTGGGGATTGAATCCAGCACTTTTGTGCTGAGCTACAAACTCCAGCAGGCTCTTGATAAATTGTTAAATTGCCCAGGTCGGGTAGAATTTGCAATCCTGCCCCAGCCTCCCAGGGTGCTGGGGTCACAGGGGTGTGCTGCTATACCCGCTAGCTTCCTCTACCCTGGCTGGCTAATTTATTCTTCTCTCCAGATCGCTCCTAAACACCACTTCCTCACCAGTCCTCATCCAGCCAGTCATCAAGTCCTGCCTATTTCACGTCACCAGTATTTTGCGATGTCATCTTTTCTGTTTTTTTTTTTAATCCTTTCCCTAAAATGGTAAGAACCACGCCAACAGACCAACAGGACCTGTGTCTTCTCCTTCTCTGCAGTCTCTTCATTGCCGCCCCAGTCTTATTTCTGAAACACAAAGCTGACACTGTCACTTCTAACACTGTCACTCCCTTGTTTAAAATCCTTCTATGGTTCCCCAGGATTTCTCAAGAGACAGGAGCAAGGCCCATCCCTTCCGAGGCCACGCCCCTGGTGGCCTCAGCTCCGCCCACTGGGCCCGCCTCTTAAAGGTGCCCCACTTCCACCACCACCCCCGAGGGCCATGGAGATGGAGAGGGACACCGGCATGCCTCCCTAAACCACAGCGCACCCAGCACTCACTGGGCACTGACTCTGTGATCTGTTGCTACCATAACAAGCTACTACACATTTAGTGCCTCGCAAAATACTTACAGTCTGGAGTTGCAGGGGGGGTCAAAAGCCTGAGCCGAGTTTCACCTGTAAGATCAGAGCCTCACAGGGCTGCTTTCCTCCTCCAGGGACATTTGGTTCTAGAGGTCGCTCGCCTTGACTCAGGGCTCACTCGCGCCACTTGCAAAGTCTCAGCCACTCACTCAGCGGCTGAGAAGTCATGACGCTGTCTCTCGAGTTCTTTCCCTTCTACCTCGCCCTCCTACTTAAAAGTATCCTCGCGAGTCCCCTGACCCATCTGGGTGGTTTAAAATGATCTCCCGGTCTCGAGGTTGTCTGAGCAGCAATAGTGATTTCTCGTCTCCAGGTGACCACTGGAGCACCAGGGCGTGGCCATCTTCCAGCACGTTTGATGGCAAGAAGTCTACATGTGTAGGCGGAAAGTTTAGGGTTCAGAATGAGAATCCCGTCGTCTCTGCTATCCTGAATTCTAACCTGTCTGTGGTGGCCGAAAGCAGTGGGGCATTAGCAGGCTTGGTGCAACCCAGAGCACAGCACAGGGGACAAATTCCAGCTCCATTTACCTCCCACATGGATGGGGGATCGCTCGCACGCACTTTCTGAACCACAGTTGTTCCTCTGCAAAAAACAGCAATCGGGGCCTGCCTCAGTCACAGAACTATACAGACCAGTGCGGACCAGCCTGCGGCACACGACCTACTCTGACACTCCTGACAAATGTAAGTCATAGAGCCTTATTATTGGTAGGGGAAACAGCAAATATCTGGTGAGTAGCTGAGTGACCGACTGAATGAGCTCAGCTTGCAGATTCCCTCATTGTTAATCAAAGACTAACAGTATGAACAACCTCATCTATCTCATTTTAATTAAAGACAATGCAGGAATGATCTCATCTTTGGAGTTTATACAACACCGCTAGCACACATGATGTCACCAATATGAAAAAGTTCTCCTCCCTTTTAAATTGTAAATCCTTAGACTTTATGCAGGACAAAACCCTTTTTGCCACTGTTTCCAATTAGGTTTGAAATCTACCACTGTAGACAAGTTTCCTTTCCTAAAAAAACATGTTTAATAGAGATTAAGCGAATAAGAGGCCTGTTTTGTTTTGCACTTTTTTCTCCCTGAAATTTGAAGTTATATGGTATGCATTGTTATCCCCAATGGTGAAAAGACAGATAATTATATAAATTAGAGACAAGTTGCCCACCATTCTGGTAAGCACTTAACAGAGTCCTTCCTTATTTCCCCTTCATCCTACCTTTAAAAATGTGGCTCTCTTGATTACTTTAACCCAGCAGGTAGCTACAATATTGACATTAAAAATAAATATCAGAGACAACACCTAGCTGACATGTGAACAAAAATCTGGCTTAGAAGAACAGTGCAGAGGGAATTTTATTGATTTCTCCTCTATATCAAATGCCCTCTAATCCACTCTGGCGATGATCAAAATAGTCATCACAAACACCATGATGAAGAAAACCCACATGAAGAATCGGTCTATGACTTTCGCAACTTTCTTCCATTCACTCCCCTTGGAGTGGGTGGCCCTGTGGTCTTTGAGGCACTTGGCGATATACTCGATATTCCTGGTCAGTGTTTCAAACCGCGTGCAGTAACTCTCGGCTTCCTGCAGCGTCTCACCCTGGCACCCCAGGTCGTTCTTTAAGAGTTTGTTCATTTCCTTCTTCTGGGAAAGGTCCTTGTTCCTGGCTGTCTTCGGCTTTGACTCTGGAAGCTTGCCATACACCTTGGTGAGGTGGCCCCGCTCCCTGCTGTGGCGTGGGCTGAGGCAGCTCTCACCCACATCATAGACAAACAAGATCCTGGCCATGTATTTCAGGATGACCACACGGGCCCAGTGTGGCACTGGCCGGGCCTCGGCCCCGCAGAAGTGGATATTCATCACCATGATGGTCAGGGCGGTGGAGGCCGTGATCAAGGCCATCGTGGCTATGTAGTACTTGCCTGTAATCAAAACAGCAGCAGCTCAGTTTGCTTTAACACTGTCCTCACATTGGCTTAAAAAGAATGAAACGAATACCTTTCTTAATGAAGTGATCAGCCCTAGTGGTCACATATAGGCTTTTGAATCAATGTCCTGGGGTCAAATCCCATTCTTGCTGCTCACCAGACTTAGAGGCTACAGCAAAATCTATAATCCTACCACACTTTCACTCCTGGCTCTGCAGTATGGGTGTAAAATACACAGAAATACAGCAAGGCTTGACAGAGGTGAGTGTGGCAAGTTCTCTGCACTGTCCCTGGCTCCAAAGGCTTGCAAATGTTGGCTGAGTTCCTGATGTGAAAAACTTCCACTCAGCACTCAGGGAAACTGACCAGCTCTAAGTACTGTCTTCAGACCTCACAGAATGGAAGACAATGGCTGTTGAGTAGGAAAGAGGACACTGTTACCGTGTCTGTAAAATATGATTGTGTAAAGCAAATGTTCATGTAAAAGGGAAGCAGAAGAAATAATATAGTGCCTTTGGCTTATAAAATACAAAACAAAAAACTAAGAAGGTGAGCAAAACCAAAGGCACGTCTTTGAAGGATAATAAATTTCATTGTGCGGATGCACATGTGTGGTCCCAGCTCCTAAGAAGGTGAGGCAGGAGGATCATTAAGTCTAGGCAACAAAGTGAGACCTGTTCTCAAAAAAGAAGGTGGAGGAGGTGATTGGGAGGAAGGGGAGGAGGACAAAAGAAAGAGAAAGAAAAAAAGAAGAAGAAAATAATAAAAATTATAAAACTTTGAAAGGTCAATCAACAACAAAGAAATAGAAAGAGAGAGAAAGATAAGATTTAGAAAAATAATATTTTAAGCGCCTGTACGATAGTAGCCTTGAGAATCTAGGTGGCATTTCTAGAAAAGTATGTTAAAATTAGTGTACGAAGAAAAATACTTAAATAGAAATGCTAATCACATACCTGCTTTTCCAGCCTAAAAAGGCTATTGAACCAAAGGAATCTATAAATTTTACTGAACCTTCAAGGAACAAAATTGATAGCTTACACAAGTTGTAAGAAACGTAATATAAGAGATGACTTTCTTATTCATTTTATGAAGTCAATTTAACCTCTACAACTTATGAAAAAAGGAATAATAAAATTACTTCACTTAGAGACACACTAGGGAAATTCCTACATAAATATTAGCTAGCAGAATCCCGCAGGGTCTTCAAATGATAAATACATCACTACAAAGCAGAGTTCAGTCCAGGAATATGAAGTTCAGAATCAGAAAACCATTGATGTGAGTAACTGCATTAGTGGGTGAGGGAACTTAACACAATTGTCTTGATGATGAAGACAAAGCAGCTCTTGTTTAAATCCTGTAAACCTATTGTTTGTTACAAATCTCAAGTTAACTTTTAAAAAGGGCCTTTCTCCATAAAGATTATAGGCCAGAAATACACACCAAATCCAACACTTAATATAGAAAACCCAAATGTTTCTGTAAGATGAACAACACATTCAAAGGGCTGGGGATTTAGCCTAGCGGCATAAGCGCCTGCCTGGCAAGCTCTAGGTTGTGAGTTCGATCCCCAGAACCAAAAAAAACAACACATTTCAGACTAGGCATGGTAGCTCACTCCTATAATCCTAGCACTTGGGAGGCTGACGCAAGAGGATCATTGCAAGTTCGAGTCTAGCCTGAACTACAAAGTGAGATCAAGCCCAGCCTGAACTGCACAGCAAGATCCTGTCTCAAAAAGACAAAAAAAAAAAAAAATTAAAAACACATTTCTTAGATGCTATATAAAGCAAATTGTGACTGTCAATAAATGTTCTCAAGATTTCCACATACACGTCCTTAAAAATAAATTTCATATTTATCATATAGAAATGGGACAAGTAATGCTTGCAGATTCCTCTCTAGAGATTGTGCCAACTTGCCTCTGAATGGTGCTGCTTAAAGAGAGACCTGCCAGTCATCCAGCCTCCAGCAAGATGGAAGGCCATCACCACCGTCAACTCTGTCTGCCTCAGAAAGCTAACAAAAAAGCCAGTACACTTCCTCCTTTTTATTAGGAGAGGAAAAAATTCTGTTTATTTCTTTAAAAGATGTGTGTGCTGCTAGAAGATATCCGAAAAAGAAGAAATCTCTAAAGAAGCAAATGTCATAACATCTGAATGTGGTGTAACGATTCCATACAGAGCAAAAGATCACATGCGAACCCTTTGATCCTGGTGTCTAGGTCCCTTAGAGTCCTGAGATCTCTCCTCACTGCTTGTTTTAGTAATAAAAGTTAGGTCTCGCCTTTGGTTCCAGTAAGCATCTATTGCAATAGAGAGTTGTTGAGATAAAGGTTTTAAATCTGAGCATCTTTCAGGTGGCAAGAGATAGATGCTACAGGTGACAGGAGAGACCTCAGAACAAGGAAGGTACAGGAGTGGAGAAACAGTTCCAACCACATCCCAGACCTTGGAGGGACATTTCACTACCACAGATTTGGAAAGTACAGTCTGCTTTAGAATGATCTCTGATTCTCAAAACCTGGTCAAGATTGCCTAAGCAAACTCTTTGTGTGGAGGGGTCTGCATTTCAAGAAGCTCTCCCACAGCTCTTACACCCAGTAAAGGTGGAGAATTATTTTGGAAGGGTCAACGGCAGGCTTGACACTGCCGCTCATCTATCTAATGTTTGCCACTCTTCCACAGAAGGAAGCCCTTACCATGTGAAAAGATACTAAAAATCCCAGTCAACTTAGTACTTAACTTAGTACTTACCATGTGCCAGGTTATGTGCTAAACAATAACTCAGGAGGTAGCGATCATACAAAGTTTTTAGATGAAGAAGCAGAGACTAAGAAATTAAGTATTTTGCCTAAGGTTGATCAAGGAGCAGTGGTGAAATCAATACTCAAATGCAGCCTTCTTTGAATTCAAAACCAGAGCCTTAATCCTGGGCATCAAACACAAGACCAGGGCATCACAATCCTTGACTTGAAATTATATTATAAAGCTACTGCGATAAAAACAGCATGGTACTGGTGAAAAAAAGACCCAAAGATCCATAGGACAGATTAGAAGATGGAAAAACAACTCTAGACACATTAAGCCACCTTACCTTTGACAAATGTATCAAACATATTCACTGGAAAAAAGATAGCTTCTTTAATAAATGGTGCTGGAAAAAGTGACTGTACATGTCAAAGATTTACCATGCACCAAACTAAATTCAGAATGGATCAAAGATCCTAATATTAAAACAGAAACATTAGATGCGTTAGAAGATAGAGAAGGTAAAACTCTTGAAGACACTGGTGTAGGCAGACTCTTTTTTTTTTTTTTTTTTTTTTTGTACTGGGGACTTGAACCTTGTGCTTGCCAGGCAGGTATATCCCAGTGAGCTAAATCCCAAGCCCAAAGTCTTTAGGAACAAAACCCTGACTGCACAGGAGCTATCCAAACAATCAACAACTAGGATTCATCCTATTGTAAAGCTTTTCCACAGCAAGAAAACCACCAACAGAATGAAGAGACAACTCACTAAGTGGGAGAAAACATTTGTCGGCTGTTCCTCAGACAAAGAATTACTATCAAGAACATACGAAGAACTCAAAAAAATCAACCCTCCCAGATTTAAAGACTGAATCCAAAAATGGGCATCTGAGATAAACACACACTTCTCAGATAAAGAAATACTAGCAGAAAATAAATATGTTCAATATCACTGTCATTCAAGAGATACAAATTAAAGCAACACTGAGATTTCACCTCCCTCTGGAAAGAATGACTATTATCAAGAAATCAAACAATAACAAATGCTGAGGGGCTGTGAGGAAAAAGGGACCATTCTCATTGACCCAGCTATTCCCCTTCTGGCTATCTTCCCAAAAGAATTAAAAACATCATACCACAGTGACATATGTGCACCCATGTTTATAAAAGCACAGTTTGTAGTAGCCAGATCTTGGAAATAACCTTAAATACCCATCCACTGAGGAACAGATAAAAAAGATGTGATATTTTTATACAATGGAGTACTACTCAGTCATAAAGAAGGGTAAACTGGAGCCTTTTATAGGTAAACGGATGCAACTTGAGAACATACTCATAAGTGAAATAAGACGCACATGTGTAAACATCATATTATCTCACTAGCGTAAGAAGTTGAAAGAAACAATATATATATGTACATGTATATATGTTATAAAAAGATAGCTAAGATAGTTATACTACTGATTTCTCTGAGTTCACTGAAGAGAAAGGGTTGTGCTGGTACTGTTTGGACAATTGAATGCAGATGTCTTGTGCTCTGGGTGAATGATCTGAGGATGGCAATGTGCAGTGTATGTACCATTGCTGTCCCCTGATTGATGAGTTTTGAATTTTTTTTTCTCTTTGAAATAAAATAAATCTGGAAAACAACATCAGAGCCTTTCCTTATAAGTCAGAAGTTTTCAACCTTAAGCAGAAAGAGCCTCTGAATCCCTGAAGGCTTGTTCAGACAGGTGCCAGGCCTACTCAGTGGGTTTCAGATGGTGCTTGAGGGCTTGTGTATCTAAGAGTTCTGAGTGATGGTGATATGTTGAACCGAGGGACCACTTGGAGAATCACTGCTGTAAACTATCGAATCTCTCACTCTCCTTTCGAGCAGACCCAGAGAACACAAGACAGGTTCTAATCCGACAGGAGTATTTATGTTCAACCATGCTGAGAGCAGATACCAAATGCATTATGTGACTACCTGCAGTGACTCCTAAGTTGGCCCAGTTTTTGGCCTGAAGGTGCACACCCAAGTCCAGTCACGGGGTGGGAGACCCTTGCACTCACCTATCAGAGGGACATTTTCTGAGGCTGGCATAATCTCTGCCACCATCAGCTGGAAAACGGTCATGGCCAACAGGATGGTCACTCCCAGGGAGACCTTCTCCCCGGAGGCTGCTGGGAGGTAGAAGCTTAAGGGAGCTAGGAAAGAGATGAGGACACAAGGGATGAGGAGGTTGACGATGTAGAAGGAGGACCTCCTCTTCAGCAGGAGGGTGAAGGTGACATCTGGGTAAGGCTCAGAGCAGCAGCCGTAGGAGATCACGTTCTTCACGGCCGGCATGCCGTGGACCTCCCACTCCACGTCCTCGATGAAGTCGGAGAGATCGCCACTGTCCAGCGCGTTGAATATGTCCACCTGATTGCCGTTGTAGGTCCAGGAGCCGAAGGTCAGGTTGCATTGCTGGTTGTCGAAGGGGAAGTAGGTGACGTCCACCACGCAGGAGCTTTTGGTGATGGCGGGGGCATCCCACGTGATGAGCCCGTCGTAGCGCAGGACCACGTTGGTGTTCACGGGCTCTGAAGACTCATCATCAGCCCTGGAAGTCAGAGCGGACAATGGCAGCTGCTTCTTAGGAAGACTCGCTGACTTCCCTGCCCCACAGAGCTCACCGCCCTGCGCCCGTGGGGTCAGTGTCCTTGGCAATGTGTCACATTTCTCTCTGTCACTCTAGCTTGAGTGCTTGGAAGCATCTGCCTCATGTCCCCTAGTGAGTCAGGGCCAGGTCCTCCTGCGTTCTTGCTTTAAGGAATTTCTGCTCTGGCTCCTCCCCAGGCAAAGCTACTGTCCAGGTTTAATGACTTGAACATTCAGACAAAAGGTAAACCTGCTGTTATAAAAATCTGCTCACCTGATTTTTTTTTTCCATTTAGATACTCAGAATATTAAAAATAGCCATTTGCAGCCAGGCGTGGTGGCTCACGCCTGTAATCCCAGCACTCAGAAGGCTGAGGCAGGAGGATCCCTGCAAATTCAAGACCAGCCTGGGCTATAAAGTGAGCTCAAGGTCAGCCTGCACTGCATAGCGAGACCCCGTCTCAAAAAGACCAAAAAAAAAAAAAAAAAAAAAAAAAAAAAAAAGGCCATTTGCTGCTGTTGTGAGAGTTGTACGTGTGCGTTTGGCATTCTGAGAAAGCACAGAGGAAAAAAAGCCACTCGTGTAATCTTAGAGGTAACCACTTTCTGCCTTAGAGGAAATATGGAAGCGTCCCCTGGTCACTCGGAGTGGAGACCGGACAGTGGGCTCGGGGCTGTGAGTTAAGAGGTCAGGAGCTGAGTAGGAGGGAAGCCGAGGACCCGGCCTCCACCCCTGTGCCAGTCCTTTAGGGAACTCTGCGCCCACCAGCAGGCTCCACCAGGGGAATCCCCGAGCAGCCTCTCATTTGCACTGTTCTGAGCCTCAGAGGAATCTGTGCCTACCCGAAGAACTTTGGGTTCCAGCATAAAAAGAGAGAGGACCTCCCTCAACAACCACTGGAGAAACGTAGCTGTGTGACAGAGAGAGCTGACTCCTCAAAGTGCAGGCCGGGGCCAGCAGTGCCTCTGCCACCTGCAGCTTGTAGAGATGCAGAGCCTCAGCCCCAGGGCAGCCTACTGACCCGAATCTGTATTTAATTAGGTCCCTCATGATTCGTGTGTACTTCACAGTTTGGGAAACATAAGCCCTACCCCCCCCCTTACACAAGGGGCCTCGTTCCATGAGAAACAAAGGGCCAACCGGTGTCCTACGGTCCATCCAGCCTCCACCACCCAGAGACAAACTCCAGGGGCCAGCTCGGAATGGTCCATTTCCAATTAATTTTAGTAGCATCATTGTCATTGCTGTGTGACCTTGGTAGTGAGCACCACTCTTAGGGGGGGGATTATAGCCAAAGAAAAGTTGTATTTTGAAGTGCTTGTCCTGCGGCATCTCAGAATGTGGCCTTATTTGAGAACAGGGTCGCTGTAGCATAATTAGTTAAGGCGAAGTCATGCAGGAATAGGAGCCCTAAGCTGGTACTGAAGTTCTCCTTACACACGGGGAAACTGCACACAGGAAGCCCAGAGGGAGGACACTCTGAGGCTAAGGCATAGATCAGGGTGACACTTCACACAGTCTGAGGAACACTGGGAGCTAGAAGACAGGCAGAGAACAGATCCTGCCTCCTCATAACTGTCAGAAGGAACCTCTTCTGCCAACACTTTTCTTTTTTTTCAGTATTACAGACTGAACCCAGGGCCTTTGCACATCTCTAGCCCTGTTTTTATTTTTTACTTTGAGACAAGTTCTCACTAACTTGCTAAACTTCCCAGGCTGGGCTGGAACTTGTCATCCCCCTGCCTCAGCCTCCATGGTGCGGGGATGACAGATGAGTTCCAGCACATCAGGCTCTCTGATAACCCTTTAATTTCACACTTTGGCTTCAGAACTGTGAGGTGGCAAACTTCTGTTCTTTAAATCACCCTGTTTACACTACTGTATTTTGGCAGTGCTAGCTTCTGGCTTCCCACAGTGGAGAACAAACCTGATGATCTACTTCGGGCTCTAAGCTTTTATGACCTTTATTTTATTATCAGAGGTTTCATGGCTATTTTTCAGGGCCTAGAAACATAGACTAATACTTTACTTCATGTGCATTTTACACATTTTTCCTTATATTTAAATTCTGTGAAGTCAGCGGGTCCTCCCAGGACCTCAGCTCTGAGGGGCACCCACTTGTTGTACAGGATGATGTCCGGCCTCCACACCAGCTCGCTGGGGATCCTGATGGAGTCCAGCCCGTCGTACTGCTCTCGATCCCACGTGAGGTAGGCGTCGTGCCAGATCTGGCGGATCCACAGATAGGCGGTCAGAATCTGGTTTCTTTCATCCTGCATAATGGATCAGATGTCACTCTATCTGGAAGACGCCCGGGCCTTCCGTCTTCAGACTCTTGTTCTCCACGACAGGAGTTTCAAGAACGCTCATCTATTTTCCATTAATAGGTGAGAGCTTTTTTTACTCCATTCCCTTGACTGACTACCAAAGCCACATTCTTTTCCTTCCTTAATGTAGGGTTTGAAGTGAATGCTAAAGTTGTCAGATCTTTGTATAGGTTAACTGCTCAAGTCTCTCTGAAAATGGCTCAACTAATGACACACTTCAATGAAGAGGTCAGGAAATATCTTCCACATACAGAGATGAGAAGTCCCCCGAGTCTCACACTTTGTGTAATCATATACATACATATATATACATACTCAATAATGTGCATATATATGTACTCAATAAGCTATACCAATTTAAAATATCATTTTTCTTTCCTAAATTCATATAACATAAATATTACTATTTTAACCACTTTGGATGCTATGTTTTCTATCTAGATGTTTCCTTTTTAAAGTCTCAGGGGTCATGTGGTACCCTCAGAAAATGATTGGACTGTGGGGTTTACAGCTGATGTGCTGTTAGAAGATGGGGCCTGGTTGGAAGACGGAGTCTCCCCAGGGTTGGCCAGGAGGTCTCCCCCATCCCGGCTCTTCCCTAGGTTCTGTGTCCTGGCTGCCATGATGTGCCCCCTTCCATGCAGCTCAGCTTGGAGCCAGCTGACTATGGACCTGTAACGCGAGCTAAAACAAACCCCTCCTCCCTTAGGTCGTGAGTGTCAGGTCTTACATCTCAGCGACTAAGAAAGTGACTAAGACAGCCCCCTGGCCACTGAGGAGTCACTGACTATGCCCTTACTCCTCTGGCCACCACTACTCTGCTTTCTGTCTCAATGAATTCCCCTGCTTTGGACATTCCATATGAATGGAACCATGCGATATGTAACTCCACCTTGCTTTGGAGTATCTAGCACTATCATAGCGTGTGACCAGAACTGTAGGTCACAGTAACATCAGTGAGCATAACACAACGCGTAGTGCGCTTAGCGCTGTAGGAAGTGTCCTTCCTCTGCACCCCTTCTGCCCACCAGCCGGTAGAGCTGCCTGCTTTGCCCTGCCCAAGTTCCCGCTCAGGCTGTCCCCGTCAGGAAGCATGCTTGTGTCCTTCTAAGATCCTTCTCAAAGTGTCCTCAGTCTGTTACTCACCATATCCTTAATCTGAGACAGTGTGATCTGCAGTGTAACATTGAGGACTTTATCTGTGTCTTCGACTGGACGAAGAGCATTGGAATAATCTTCAAAAAGGTCATTAAACAACTTCTGAGCGTATCTTCCATTTGCTGTTTCCACAGCTATTCAAAAAGAGAGACTCCGATCAACATTCAGAGGGCTGTATGTCAAACACCAGTCTGTGGTTAGGAGTAGGGGACAGCCCGACTGGACCAGGGACTTGTTTTGGATGGGTGGACCAGTCGCTTTCCCGGCAGGGTGCTATGCAGGTCAACAAGAGTCAAGCAGATGCACAAACCCTTCCAAGCACTTAGATCAGCTCTTTTCTGGCCCACCTACTTCCCGCCAAAGTGGTCCTACCCACCACCAACCTCTCACCTCTCAGTTGAGAAGCAGCAAAATAAATCCAGCAAAATGAGAAGCAGGCATAGGGCCAGTTCATTTTTCTCCTGAGCCCCTAGGATGTCACAGCCAGGCAGCGTGGTCTTCTCTGTGAGTGGGAAGTTTCCTGGCATAACAGCCTGCACTACAGTCTTACCTGAGCAGACAGAGTAAACAGGCTTGCGTCGTACACAGGCTCAGAGCTTGACATGCAGACCCAGCCGCCTCCCCCTGTGTAATCTGAGACAGGGAGCTCCAATAGCTGAGATGCCCATTGCCCAGGATATGTCAGGTTCTGCTGCTCTGGGGGAGCCATGCCAGTGGAGGACCTCTCTCCACCCTTTGCAGGGCTTTCATCCAGACCTGAGAAGAGAAGGGAGGAGCAGGTCAAAGGCATGCCTGACTCCCCAGGGCACAGCTGCCCAGAGAGGCCAGCCAGCTTCCAGCAGTGTGTGGAGTGGGGAGGAGAAACAGCTCCGCGGCCTCTAGAACACACTGGCACACGGGTTTCTTCACTGCCTCTGCTTCTGATCACTTCAGTTGCACTGGGCACAATCTTACCTAGTAAATGTGTGCGAGTGTATGTAGGAAGGGAAGTATTGGATGGGTTCTGAATGCATTCCAGTGCTGCCACTCCCTGAAGAAGCAGGGCACTAGGAATGCATTTGGAACCCACCACCTGGGTGGTGACTACCAGCCCCAACCTTATGAGAACCTTAATTCTGGACAATTTGCATTCCCAAGCTGCAGACTAGGGAAACAATATTCCATCACCCTAGAGCAACCAGTGGAAGGAAGCACACTGCAAACCCGACAGCATTATGCACAACATTGATGTTCGCCTTTGATCATCTTTGCAGATTTGAATTTCTACTCTTTTACCAAGCCAATTGGGGTTTACTGGCTCTTTATCAAATGATTCAAAGGCTAACCAAATCCACAGAAGAAGGATGCCTCACCAGTGATGTTATTAAGGACGCTGCCCCTTTGCATTTGAAGGCTGTTATATAAATTCCTAATCATTTCTTATATGGGATCTAATTTTGCTCTCACTGAAGAATGCCAATATCCAGTAGCTAATGGAGTCTGGGACTCAAATCCATCCCTCCTCTTGCCTGGGGAAACTGCCTTGGATACTAAATTAACATAATGCGATTGCCTGGAATCAGAGTGAAGAAATTGGATAGCTCTGTCTCATCAGGTTCCAGTCATCTGATGAGTCACCCTATCCCTCCCGAGGATCCTGTCCTCCCTCCCTCGGTGTGGAGCCGACACTTGAGCCATCAGTTAAGTGGGTTTCTTAATCACCTTTCCCCTCTTGCTAAATGCAGAAATGTTATTTTTCTCCCAGCCCAGGCTGACTCACTGATCCCAGGGCCCAGACTCAGACTCCCCGCAGCCCACCTCCCTGCTCTGCAATCCGTGAGGCTTGAAGGTGCTTTTGGGACTACGTTTATTAAATCTCATTTTCTCCTGAGGAAACTGAGGTCCAGCAGTGGGTGGACAGTGACTGGGTCCAGGCCACCTGGCCCAAGCTAGCGGGCTCACCACACTCTCATTCCTGTCCTTTGCATTGTCTCTTGGCAATGCAGCATTGGGTGCCTTTCATTCTCCGGACACCCAGAGCAGCCCCTGGGATCGGCTTCCGGCGAACCCGTGCGTGGGCTGCGGCCCTGGCTGTGTACACGCGGGTGGCGGCCTGGTAGGCGGCATCGTTCTGGGTTCATTAACTGGCAGCTAGCGCTGTTTTTATTTGTATTTGTTTCTTTGTTTTTTCTTTTTTTGATAAGAAAAACGATATCCTTTTTCACTGTGAACTTTGGGGGTTTTTTGAATTAATTTTATTGGTACACTTTAGATTGATTTAGTGGTACACATTCATCACATCATGATATATCTTGATTCTTCTTTCTTCCCATTCCTGTCTCCTCTCTTTTTCCCCTCCTTCTTTATAAAAGATTTGTTTTCATTTTTTCTTTCAATCTCTCCCCCCCACACACACACTTGTTCCCATTCCCATTGAAACATTTTTTTCCTACTTACTAATATCTACCCATTTTGGTTCTTAAATATATTTTCAGTTTTTTCCACAAGAGAAACAATGCAGTATTTAAATATGTGTATCCAATTTATTTCACTTAAAAGTATGGTCTTAAGGTCCGTCCATTTACCTCATCCTTCTTTATGACAATATAGTACTCTATTATATATAAAAATCATCCAGTGGATAAAAATTATCCATTCATCCAATGACAGACATTTGGCTGTTTCCAAACTGTGCAGATCTAAGTGCGGGTGTGTATTTCTCACTTGAGTGTGATGTTTTTAACTCTATCAGGAAGATACCAAGAAGGGGAATAACTGGGTCAAATGGAACCTCTAACTTCAGTTTTTGGAGAACCTCCACACTGATTTCCCTATCAGTTGCACCAGTTTACACCCTCACTAACAATGGGGAAGTGTCCCTCTAGATAATTTATTAAATTGCCCAGGCTGGGCTTGAACATGGTAGTTCACCTGCTTCAGCCTCCCAGAATGCTGGACTTACAGGCACACATCATCACACAGAGCATAAATTCACTATTTAGGGATCAATAAGGCTGAAAAGCAGACAGCTCTAAACTAATTTTCTTCAGGTGGGTTCAGATAATGAAAGTAATCTTTAAATATATTTTAATTAGTGCTTATTAAATCTGTAAAATATTATTTTCATGCACACATATGACACATTTTGACCACATCATTCCTTACTGTTTTCCCCTTTTGTAATAATAGTCTCCTTTCTACTTTCTTGACATTTTTATAGTCTATGTATTAGAGAAAACAATGCTATATTTGTGTGTTTGAGTGTAGCTTCTTTTGTTTAACATGATGGTCTCCTATTCCATTCATTTTCCTGCAAATGACATAATTCTGTTCTTTTTGGCCAAATAATACTCCATTGCATATATATCCCACATTTGCTTTATTCATTCATCTGTGATGGACACCTACACTGGCTCCATATCTTAGCTCTTTAGACTTGTGTCACAATAAACATGGGCAATCAGTTAACCCTACGGCTTGTTGAATTTGATTCTTTCTGATATACGCCAAGAGTGATAGAAGTTAGATGATATGTTAGAAGTTAGATGATATAGCTCTAGTTATAGTTTTTTGAGGAACCTGCATATTGATTCAATGGAAGTAATTTTAATAAGCTTCAGCTCTCCAGAAATTTGGACCCTCAAGAGTGCACCCATTTCTTGAATGCCTCGGGGATTTAGGATAAACTTAGGATCCTTCATATCTGTTGTTATAGGAATTCCAGTTAACAGAGAACCCAGTTGCCTACATTTGCCAGGCCGCTGGCAGAGATTCTGAATGGCATCTCAGCATCAGCCCCCAAGGGCACAGCACACTCTAGCCTGGCTGGGAGAAGGGACCCATACTTCAGAGCAGCTCTAGAGAGCACCCGGGTCCTTCCAACATCTGCAGCTTTCAAGAAACAGCCCCCACCCCCCAACCACCAAAGAAAGAAACAGTGGTCCCTTATCGCAAGGCCACAGAGCACTCCAGCTCCTTCAGAGCTGCTGGGAGCCACTCTTCCAGACAGACCATGCATCTGCCCTCAAATTTCATGGCAGGACATTAAGTGCATCCAGTAAGATCAGGCTGGTTTTTAAATACAGTTTTTATCAATAAGCAGTGTGAGTGGGTATCATAGAAAAATCAGAAAGTACAAAGAAAGTCACCTGGGCAGATGCAGCCCGGCAGAGAGAGGGTTCGCACAGGGACTGTCTTCTTAGCATGTCATATCACCAGATGATCACGTCTGTGACTTCAGGAAGGACACAGCTGCCACCAGCAGGGCTCCCTCTCTCTTAATGCTGATAATGAGCACCTGGAAATGCTCTCCTTTCCTGTTCTCAGGCTGAGTTAGGGATCCTGTGGGGGCTGCCTTGAGTGGTCTCCCCACCCACCTTCTCTCCCCCTCCCCATCCTGTTTCCAACCTCTGCCGCCCCCCCCCCCCCCCATGGATCCCTTCTTGCCTGAAGCTTCTGAGAACCTCTGCCCACTGGGGTCGAGCATCCAGGAGTCGCCTCTGACACCATCTCAGGTGACTGGGGATGGTGCTTCCATCCCTTGAAACAGAGCTGTCTGATACAGACTCCCGTGAACTCAGGCTAAACGGCCTCTTCCCTGCAGCAGACGGTGGACCTGAAGGATAAATGAGTTCATTCCACTGTGCATGTTTTCTGTAAAAAAAAAGAAAGAAAAAACCAAAAGAAACTAAAAGTCAAATATCATGTTTTCAAAAGGGTTCACACACACACACACACACATTAATGACAGAAATATTTCCTTAACTTTGTTAAACATAGGACCAGAGCACAGCTGACCCACAGAGAGCACTCAGACACCACGGACCCCGAGGGCACTTGTTTATCACTGGTCTGCAAAGTCATCCCTCAGGGGCATACTCCAGACCTTCAAGGTTTTATTTCTTGCCTTCCAAATCAATAAAATCAGTGTAAGAGACTCTAGATCAAGTCCAGCCTTGCTGTTCACTAGCTGTGGAACTTTACGTAGATTTCCTGGCCTTTCTGTGCCTCCGTTGCTTCCTCTATAAAGTGGGGGTGATTATAATAGCAGATGCCTCTAAAGTTTATTTTGAGCAGTAAAAGAGTTCATGCATGTGAAATCTCAAAAGTGTGCTTAACTATAACATGTACTAAATAAGCTATAATTAAGGGGTAAAAGTGTACCCTAGCAACTAAAAAGGTTAAATATGTAAACTATAGCTCCAATCTCACCGTTTGTCTCCCTCTCCTTCTCCCACTCCCAAGTTCCTTTCTGTCCCCGCTTTGGACTTCCTTCACCTCAAACTTCTCAGCCAACCTGGTTAAACTATTTTACCTGACAAACAGCGGACTGTGAGGGTGACAGTAGCAGTCCTGCCCTTTATTGTTGTCCATGTTTTCTCCCAAAGTTAGCATTATTGCCACACCACAGTGGGTTTATTCACTTGGTAGCCTTTTGAGTCCTCCTAGACATTCATACACATTACCCACTCTAAAGATATTACAGAGACTGGCTTTTTTTTTTGGAAAGAACTAGATAGTAAATCTTTCAGCTTTGCAGGCCGTGTGATCGCTGTATGCAGAGTAACAGCAGCCATGGCCAAAATGAATGAGCATGGCTGTGATCCAATAACATCTTATTTACAAAGATAGGTAGGAGGTCTTAGTTCCCTGATCCCTGATGTAGGTCACCAGATCCCTAACTCCACTAAGCCAGGTGTGGCCGATTACAACAGGGATCAGCGGCCTGCATGGGAAAGGAGCACCCCCAGGTAGCAGGGGGCCAAGCTCCATGTGGGCAGAAGCAGAGCGACCATGGGGCCGGGGAACTCACCTTCCATATCAGGAGCCTCTTAGGTGAAAAACCAGAAACG